GCCTCGCGCTGCCCCCCGCGCCAGCGGCGCCGCGCATCACGTGCGGAGCCTCGCGGCCGCCGGCCACACCCCATGCGCCATTAAGCGCGGGGGGGGGAAGGGGGAGGCATCGGGGCCGAGACAGGTGCCGATTGGCAAGGGTAGCGCGGGGCACCCCATCTCCCATTGGCTGATGGGATTGCACCTCGCTTCCCATTGGCTGCTGGGGCACAGAGGCACTGTGGGGGCTCACAGCCATTAGCCCACAGGTGCTGCCCCCCTTCCCACTTGGTGGGCCCCACGCTCGCTGCGGTTGGCTCGGGTGGGGGGCCGCTGTGTGCCCATTGGCTGGAAGACCTGGGACCCCTTTTGCGATTGGCTGGTAGAGGGAGTGGGGCTCTGCCCAAACAGCCCCACCCTGACCTGGGGCCCTTGGGGCATCATGGTGGCTGGGCCTGGGCCTGGGCAGGCAGGGGCTGGCCAGGCTGGGAGCCTCTTACCAGGAGGCCTCTGTCTACCAGAGCTTCTTGTCCATTGTGACACCTGGTCCTCTCCCCTGCAGGGGTGGCCATCCCAGTGCCACCATGGCCCCAGTAGTCTGCGGGATGCTTCTGGGGCTGACACTGTATGCTGGCCACCTGTGTGCGGTGTTTGCTGCTGACTTCCTCTACCATGACTACTGTGTCATTGGGGCCGGCCCCTCGGGCTTACAGGCAGCCTATTTCCTCCAGCGAGCTGGCCGGGACTACGTCATCTTCGAGCGGAGCCACACTCCCGGCAGCTTCTTCGCCCTCTACCCTCGCCATCGCAAGCTCATCAGCATCAACAAGCGTTACACAGGCAAATCCAACAGCGAGTTCAACCTCCGCCATGACTGGAACTCACTCCTTAGCCACGACCGCCGACTGCTTTTCCAACGTTACTCCCGTGACTTCTTCCCTGATGCTGACGCGATGGTCCGTTATCTGGAGGACTTTGCTTCCCTGCTGAAGCTGCGAGTTCAGTACAACACGGCCATTGTCCACGTGATGCTGGAGAAAGACAGACAGGCCTGGAATGGCCACTACTTCCTCCTGACTGACCAGGACAGGCAGAACTACAAGTGCAGGTAATAGGTGAACCCAGGGCTACCCTTGCTGCTCTCCACAGGAATCTTCAGTGTCACAAAATCGCAGAATAAGTTAGGTTGAAAAAGACCCATAAGGGTCATTTTGTCCAAGCCCCCTGCCCAAAGCAGGGCCAGTGATGTCAGGTTGCTCAGAGTCTTGCCCTGCTGAGGCATGAGTATCTCCAGGAATGGAGATTTCACAGCCTCTTAGAGCCTTAACCACTGTCACAGGGGAAAAACGTTTTGTAGGGATCAGCGGGGTTGGTGGGTGGAGTAACTGCTCCTGGGAAAGCATTGCCTTTTGTGAGTGGTGTTATGACTTAGGTGAGGAGCTGACAGGGCAGACACAAACTGGATGTGATTTCCATCACTGCAGGTTCCAATCTTGATAGGTAAACTTGAAATCACTTTTGTTTTATCACTAGATGATTGTTCTCTGTGAAAAAAGTAACTCAGTTGTACTTGTAGCCACTGCCGCCTTTATTACAAACTCAAGTGAGTCAGTGCAGAGACACCTCACTTCTGTTAACCCACATGTGCTTATAATTATGCCCCGGCCAAACTGAAGCCCTGGGCTAGCACAGAGCTGGCAGGGGGGAACCAGAGGAAAGTGGGGCTGCTTCAGTAGAGGGAGATGACTGTCAGAAATTACTCTCCAGGCTGCTGGTCCCTCAGTTCCTCTTCCCCTTGTCATACTTCTGTGTGTGTAGCCCATACTGCCACTGAGCTACATTCATAAAAACCTAGAAGTTACTTGTGTGAATATATGGAGTATATTTCTCACTTCTGAGAACCTCAGCTCTACAACAGCAGGTCGTGCTAGATGTCACTTGGAGGTGTGCTGTCTGGCAAGCTTGGAGGGCACAGGAGGCAATCTCAGACACTCACACACTGCAAGTGAGTTGCTCTCTGGAGCTGCATGAGTAGGGCTGGGACAGCAGACAGTGCTGCTAGCTTTGGCTAGTCACAAACATTTCCGTAAGGTACCAGTAAAAGTTCTTATGGAGCAATGTAAAAAGATTACTGTACTTAATTTTGGTGTTAACAATTAGGGATGTTGCTAACATGTTTTTAGGGCTAGGAGTTACATTTTAAAATATCAAAAACATTTTCTATCCCTCTTAAAAATTGCTTTTGTTCTGCTGTACTAAAAGGCAACACAAATTTTAAATCAAAGTAATTTTTTATGCAACATACAATCAACCTGTGAAACTTTAATATTATATATATCATCAGTGAGTACATGGGAGTAGTATTTGCATATTCATGAACAACAGAAGGAGAGAGATATGTACAGCACCCACACTGACATTTACTATATATAAAGATGTTCCTAGTCATCTTTGTTGGCCTGAGGGTAGGGAAGAGGGGAGCAGGTTATTAGGTGAAGTTGGGGAGAGGCGGCCCTATTCCCATAACTCAGGCATTCCCTAGTGCTATCCCTGTTTTTGCAGCTCTTTGTTGGTTGCCACTGGGACATGGGTCCCCAACGTGGTAAACTTTCCTGGCTCAGAATATGTCGAGGGTTACGAGACTGTGTCCATCAACCCGGAGGATTTTGCTGGCCAAACTGTGTTGATCTTGGGCCGAGGGAACTCAGCCTTTGAGACAGCAGAGAACATTCTGGGTGTCACGAATTTCATCCACATGGTGAGCCGGTCCCGCGTGCGCCTTTCATGGGCCACCCACTACGTCGGGGATCTGAGGTAGGAAACTGCTCGTTTTCCTCTTTCTAATACAGCTGGAGTACAAACAAGAAGAATCGCTTCTTGCCCAGGCGATGAGCCACAGTGACACAGGAGGTGCTGTGGTCCTGTGGGCTGCAGAGGAAACACAAGGCTTTCTCTCTTTAGGTTCTTGATTTAAAGCAGTCCAGGCTGCAGTTATTGAACGCAGGAGCTAGATGAGAGCGCTTCAGGGTCTGTGTGAATTAGGGAAACGTCCCCTTGGAAACTATCATTAAAAAGTGCTGGCTTCCAAGTCGTTTCCTTGCTTGCAATCACAGAGGAGAGTTGAGAGGTTGACTACGTCCTGCAAGAGCATCGAGGGTGTTACCTGTGCTGTTCCTGTGAGCCCTGAGGCTCTGGGAATAACCTTTGCACTGAAGGGAAGTGTGGGATGCCTGGTAAAGGTGTCCCATTTTCAGCAGCTGAGACAACCCTTCTTACATTCTCCTTTTTTTCACAGAGCAATTAACAACGGCCTGCTGGACACCTACCAGCTGAAGTCTCTGGATGGGCTTCTGGAGGGTGACCTGGAAGATCTGGCAATTGTCAAGGACAAGAAAGGGAAGCTGCACATCACGCTCCGGTTCTACCTGGAGAACAGGAACACCAGCGGAGGCATTGATTCCATCACCCTCCCACAGGATGAACTGGATAATTTTGCCACCCGTGCACCTTATGACCGTGTCATCCGCTGCCTGGGCTGGAAGTTTGACTTCTCTATCTACAACAGGTGAGGGAGAACCAGGGTCTCCAGGGAAGCAGGTATATAAGTAAAGGCCCTGAGTAGGGAGGAAGGGGTCCTCTCCTGGCAGCACTGCCTAGACCTCCACGTGCTCTGAGCTACCTGGTGCTGCACAGTCCTTTGTTTACCCTGCAGCTGTGGCTTTGTCCCTGTGGGAACATGTGTGCCACTGCCCTCTGACCAGCAGACTCTAGGGATGAGCAGATGGCAGTGTTGGGACACAAATGGCACGTGGGTGACACAGAAAAACTTGCGCATTTAGAACTTAACATCCTGACCTGCCAGATCACATGGAGAGGGCTAGCAATGTTTTCGTGTTTTGCAGGTGGTTTTGTGGGGTTTTTTTGGAATGAGGTTGGTACAGGTACAGATCACTACAGAAAGGTTTTGTCCTTTTCCCCTGAGGACGCAACCTTCACACAACCTTGGTTTGTCTCCTAGTACATCCTGCAGTTGAAAATGATACTACTAACTTCACTGTCTTCCAAAATTCACTGTCAGTGGCTCAGGCAGGAATTTGATCTTGTCTAGAGCTGCCTTGAGATGAGCACCTTTGGCTTCTGGAAGATCCTTGTTGTAGTAGTAAATCCCACTGAAGGCAGTGGGGGAATGAAGCTGTGCAGTGGCTGCAATACAGTGTGTGCCTTATCAGAAACTTTTTATTTTTCCACCTCTGCCGTTCCTGACAGCCTGCTCTTCTCTTTTGCACGTCAGATCCCTTAGAATGATGCCAGGAAAAGGGAATAAAAAGAAGTATCCTCAGATCAAACCCAGCTACGAGTCCAGAGGCACTCGGGGGCTCTTTGTTATTGGCACTGCTAGCCATTCTGTTGACTTCAGGAAATCTGCTGGGGGATTCATTCATGGATTCCGGTATACAAGTGAGTACTGGGGTGTACAGAAAGGGCAGAGATGGGAATTGTTCTTCCCTTCAAAGGAACAATTGATTGCTTACTGCTGGAAAGAGATCACCTCTAGTCCTGTGCTGACAGCAAGAACAGCAAAACACAGCCAGGCTGCAGCTGCATTGTCTGAAGTGGAAGAGAAGTGACTTGGGGTCATATCTGAAGTTTTTAGTTGTCTGTCTTTATTTT